GCACCAATGGGTCTTAACTCTGTATTGAATTTGCCAGTCTGTGTCTTTTAATTGGGGCATTTAGCTCACTTACATTTGAAGTTAATATTTTTATGTGTGAATTAGATCCAGTCATTTTGATGCTAGCTGGTTGTTTTGCCCGTTAGTGCAGTCTCTTCATAGTGTTGATGGTCTTTACAATTTGGTATGTTTCTGGAGTGAACATACAATTTGGTATGTTCCTTTCCATGTTTAGTTCTTCAGAACTCTTGTAAGGCAGGCCTGGTGGTGACAAAATTTCTCAGCAGTTTTTTGTTCATAAAGGATTTTATTTCTTCTTTGCTTACTAAGCTTAGTTTGGCAGGATATAAAATTCTGGGTTGAAAATTCTTTTCTTTAAGGATGTTGAATATCGGCCCCCACTATCTTCTGGCTTGTAGGGTTTCTGCCGAGAGATCCAATGTGAGTCTGATGGGCTTCCCTTTGTGGGTAACCTGACCTTTCTCTCTGGCTGTGTTTAATATTTTTTCTTTCATTTCAACCCTGGTGAATCTGACAATTACATGTCTTGCTCTTCTCGAGGTGTATTTTTGTGGTGTTCTCTGTATTTCTTTAATTTGAATGTTGGCCTGCTTTGCTAGGTTGGGGAAATTCTCCTGTATAACATCCTGAACAGTGTTTTCCAACTTAGTTTCATTCTTCTCATCACTTTCAGGTACAACTGATGAACTGTGGATTTGGTCTTTTCACACAATCCCATATTTCCTGAAGGCTTTGTTCATTTCTTTTTACTCTTTTTTCTCTAATCCTGCCTTCCTTATTTCATTGAGTTGATCTTCAATCTCTGATATTCTTTCTTCCACTTGATTGATTCTACTGTTGAAACTTGTGTAATGCGTCACAAAGTTCTTCTGCCTTGTTTTTCAGCTCCCATCAGGTTGTTTATGTTCTTCTCTATGCTGATTATTCTAGTTATCATTTCATCTAACCTTTTTTAAGTTTCTTAGCTTCCTTGCATTGGGTTATAATGTGCTCCCTTAGCTTGGAGGAGTTTATTTCCCACCCTTTGAAGCCTGCTTCTGTCAGTTTGTCAAACTGATTCTCTGTCCAGTTTGTTCTCTTGCTGGTGAGGAGTTGTGATCCCTTGGAGGAGAAGAGGCATTCTGGTTTTTGGAATTTTCAGCCTTTTTGTGCTGGTTTCTTCCTATCTTTGTGGTTTTAATGACCTTTGGATTTTGAAGTTGGTGACCTTTGGATAGGGCCTCTGAGTGGATTTTCTTTCTGTTGATGTTGAAACTATTTCTTTCTGTTCGTTTTCCTTCTAATGGTCAGCCTCCTCTGCTGCTAGTCTGCTGGAGTTTGTTGGAGGTCCACTCCAGACCCTGCTTGCCTGGGAATTACCATCCGGGGTGGCAGAACAGCAAAGATTGCTGCCTGTTCCTTCCTCTGGTAGCTTCATCCCAGAAGGGTACCTGCCAGATGCCAGCCAGAGCTCTCCTGTGTGAGGTATCTGTCAGTCCCTAGCTGAGAGACACCTCCCAGCTAGGGACTGACAGACGCCTCAGGTGACAGACTGCCTCAAGGGGCTCCCTGACATTCATGTACCCTGACTGGGACATACCATTCAGGCAGGGATGTTTAAGTCTGCCATGTACCCACAACCACCCCTTTTCCCAGGTGCTCTGTCCTAGGAAGGTGGGGTGTTTATAAGCCTTGATGGGTTGCTGCCTCTTTTCAGGGATGTCCTGGTGAGCAAGGATGGAGTCTAGTGACACAGTCTGCCTGCAGAGGCCTTGTTGAACTGCTGTGGGCTCCATCCAGTCACTGTGTGAACTTCCCAGCCACTTTGTTTACACAGGTCATGTTAAAACCTACCTGACCCTCAGCAACAGTGGATGCCCCTCTCCCCAACGAGCAGGAATGTCCCAGGTCAAGTTCAGACTGCTGTGCTAAAACTGCAAGAATTTCAATCCAGTGGATTTTACCTTGCTGATCTTTGTGGGTATGGGACCCATCAAGCTAGAACACTTGGCTCCCTGGCTTCAGCCCCCTTTTTCAGGGGAGTGAGCACTTCTGTCTTGCTTGTGTTCCAGGCGCCACTGGGGTATGAAAAAAAAAAAACCTGCTGTGGCTAGTTTGGTATCTTCTCAAATCGTTGCCCAGTTTTGTGCTGGAAACCTGGGGTGCTGCTGTTGTAGGCACTGGATGGAATGTCCTGCCCTGTGGGTTGTGAATAACTTGGGAAAAGTGCAGTATCTGAGCCAGAATGCCAGGAAGAGTGTGCCAGAGTGCCAGAGCACTGGGAAAAGTCCCTAATGGCCTCCCTTGGCTAGGAAGAAGGAGTTCCCTGGCCCCTTGCATTTCCCGCGTGAGATAACACCTTACCCTGCTTTGACTTGCCCTCCTTGGGTTGAACCCACTGTCTAACCAGTCCTAATGAGATGAACCATATACCTCAGTTGGAAATGTGGAGATCACCTGCCTTTTGCATAGCTCTCACTGGGAGCTGTGCCCTGGAGCTGTTCCTATTCGACCATCTTGTCAGCAATCTCAGTGAAAAGAGATTGAGTGAAGGAACAGTTGTCAGTGGAGAGGGGTACTTGAAGTGAGCAGCTTGCTGCCGAAAGTTTGGTAGTCCCAAAGTGTGGCTGAGTTCAGAGTTTTTATGGGCTCAGAATGGGGGAGTGCATGCTGATTGTTTTGTGAGTATGCAAAAAAGGCCAAAAAAAGGCACCCCTGAAAGATACGTATCACAGTGCAAAAACCAATTAGGGAAGGGCAGACATGTGGAAAATAGGTGAGGGGTTGGGATCCGTCAGAGGAAAGTACCAAATGGGAAAAGAGGTTCTCAGTCTAATCTGTGGTTTTATGTAAGACTTGTAGCTTGGTTTTCAGGTTTTAAACTATGTTCAATTTGAAGGTCAGGCTTCACTGGGGACCCTCCGCTGTCTGCCTCCTGCTGCTATCACTGTTCATTGCTATGGTCAGGTGCTGAAGAGTATTTCCTCAGAGAAGCTCTTGCTGACTCCCTTATTAGATTAGGTCTTGTAATTATACTCTCTCATAACAGTGTACAACACCTTCATTAACTGTTATCTTGTAATTATACATTTATTTGTATTTTTATTTCATTTAATGTTTGTCTTCTCAATGTAATTTTAGGTTCTTGAGAAAAAGGGCCAGGTCTTTTTTTTTTTTTTTCCATCATTATAGCCCCAAGTTACGTTTTTGGTATTTCTTCATAGATTAAATACATAAGTAGAAGGTTAAATGACAGATTTCCATTGGATGAAAGTGGTGGAATTTAAGAGATTATGCCTTTTCCATGGGTCCTTGAAAGGTAGACAGGGAATAACTTATTTTTCTTTTTATTTTATAAATTAATTTGAAATATTTCAGTTATGTTAAAAAATATAAGGAGTTTTGTATTATATACTGACTCTTGAACAACATGTGTTTCAGTAGCATAAGCATAGGTTCACTAATATGTGGATTTTTTTTTCCAATAAGTGTATTGGAAATCTTTTTGGAGATTTCTGACATTTGAAAAAACTCACAGATTAACTGTATAAGCTTGTATTGCTGAAAAAAATTAAAAAGAAGTGTGTCATGAATGCATAAAATATATGTAGATACTGGTTTATTTTATAATTTGCTACCATAAAAATCTATTACAAAAACTTAAAATTAGGCCAGGTGTAGTGGCTCATGCCTGTAATGCCAGCATTTTGGGCAGTCAAGGTGGGAGGATCGCTTGAGCCCAGGAGTTTAAGTTCAACATGGTGAGACCCCACTTCTACAAAAAAAAAAAAAAATAGCTGGGCATGGTGGTACCTGCTTGTGGTTCCAGCTACTTGGCAGGTCGAAGTGGTAGGGTCACTTGAACCCAGAAGTTTCAGTCTGTGGTGAGCCATGTTCACACCGGTGCACTCCAGCCTGGGTAACAGAAGTGAGACCTTGTGTCAAAAACAAAACAAAACAAAACAAAACTTAAATTTATCAAAACTTTCACACACAAACACTGAGAAGACCATTCATGGCACCATTCATAGTCAAGAGAAATGTAAACAAATGTAAAGACAGTACTGATCATAACTGCATAACATTAGCTGTGGTACATACTGCATGTACTACTGGAATATATTGTAGTCACCTCATGTTGCTATTGTGTGAGCTCAAGTGTTCTGAGTATTCACTTAAAACACTGTGTGACAGGAATCATCTCTGCATGAGTAGTTCCCTTCTCTAGTTAGTTGCACATCGTGGTAAATAGTGATAACTTGTGATTCTTGCCTACTTTTCATTATTTTAGGTGAAATACCTAAAACCTGGAATAACACCAAGGGACCCATGCAGACTTTCACTAGTTATGCTGGAAGTACTCTCCAGAAGCAGAGAAAAGTCATGGCATTACAATAAAAGTTGAATTGCTTGATATGTACCATGAATAGAAGTCTGCAACTGTGGTTGCATTCCATTTCAGATAGACAACATTTATCTTGTGAACAGATAACATAAACTTACTGTACAGTGCCATAAATGTGTTTTCTCATTGTTAGGATTTCTTTAATAACATTTTCTTTTCTCTAGCTTACCTTATTGTAAGAATACAATATATAATACATAGCCTAAATATACATTAATTATGTTATTAGCAACGCTTCTGGTCAACAATAGGCTATCAGTTAAGAATTTGGGAAGTCAAAAATTAGACATGGATTTTTTGATGGCACAGGTGTTGGTGCCCCTAATACTCAAGTTGTTCAAGAGTCAACTGTACCTTGCTGTACTCATCATCACTCTGCTTAAGAAATAGACATATTTATAAAAGTACACATTATATACTAATATATAAACATATATGTAGCCTACCTAGTGATTACTTTAGCATTTAGACACTCCTGTTGTAAATTAAGTAATTTTTAAATTGTTACTTAATTTGTTTATTTAAGACAATTTTTAATTTTTTTAAGACAAATTTTAATTTGTTTATTTAAGACAATTTTTCTTTAAACTTTTAGATGATACAGCAGTGTTCGAGTTGATACAGTTAGTTCCACCAGGTAATATATACTGATTTAATATATATCATAAATTGATGTAATATATATAATATCAGATATTATATATGATTATATTACATTATTTTATAAGGATATAATGTATTATATACTGATAAAGTAAATTGACTTGGGAACTCATTTCAATGACATGTTTTTTAAATTTAAAATTTCATCTTTCCAGGCTGGGCACGTAATCCCAGCACTTTAGGAGGTTGAGGCAGGCAGATCACCTGAGGTCAGGAGTTCGAGACCAGCCTGACCAACATGGTGAAACTCCGTCTCTACTAAACATTTAAAAATTAGCCAGGTGTGGTGATGGGTATCTGTAATCCCAACTACTTGGGGAGCTGAGGCAGGAGAATCACTTGAACCCAGGAGACGGAGATTGCAGTGAGCCAAGATCGTGCCATTGCACTCCAGCCTGGGTGACAGAGCAAGACTCTGTCTCCAAAAAAATGAAAAAAAAAATTTCATCTTTCCTCCTCTTCCCAAGTTAAGAACAGTGTTGAGTTTCTATTGTTGATCTACTTTGTATAAAATCTCAATAGACCAAAATAATGTATACAGAAAGATTGTTATAAATGTCACTTTAGTACATTATTCTAAAATTGAATAGTAATAATTGAAAATGGAAAATAACTTATTCTAGAATATTTTGTGACAGTCATAAAAATTGACTTTTTGTTTTTGTAATTTTTCTAAAACTATATTTTTACTGATAAAGTAGTTAATTATCATTGTTTTTGCATGTTGCTTATTATTAATGAATGGAAGATAATAAAATCTTACTTATAGTAGTAAATGTTACAGTTCCCTGGAGAAGGCAGAGTTAAAATGAAGAGGCCAGTTCATTTCTGATACTGATTTCTGTGATTATAGGCATCTATATTAATAAAATTTTTATTTTATGTGAAAATAGAGTGCTGGCTGGGTGTGATGGCTCACGCCTGTAATACCAGCACTTTGGGAGGCCAGGGTGCGTAGATCATGAGGTCAGGAGATTGAAATCATCCTGGCTAACATGGTGAAACCCCATGTCTACCAAAATATAAAAATTAGATGGATATGGTGGCATGCACCTATAGTCCCAGCTACTTGGGAGGCTGAGGCAGGAGAATTGCTTGAACCTAGTGGGGGTGGAGGTTGCAGTGAGCTGAGATTGTGCCATTGCACCCCAACCTGGGCAAAATGGGCAAAACTCCATCTCAAAAAATAAGACAAAGAAAAAGAAAAAAAATGTGGAGATGGTAATTGATAAATAATGTTAGACTTTTTATTTTCAAAAGAACAGTTTTTTTTCCCCCTAGGAAGTAAGTTTACATGACTGTCTTCTGTCTCCAAAAGGGGAGAGGGGACTACTAAATATGTAGTATGTTTCTGGAAAAGAAAAATGTGTTAATATTTTTAATATATCTTTAATTTTCCTTTCATAGAAAATAAATATGACCCAAACAGGTATTTCAATAAGGCATCAGGCAATAGATATATCATACTTGATGATTTTGCTTCTAAATAGAATATTTTGTTATAATTTGAATCATAGGCTATCTTTCTTGTAGTGGGTGAAACACTGTCTACATATGATGAAAATACAAGAGATTTCATGTTTCCGGGTCCAAACCAAGTATCTGGACACCATGATTCAAACCGCCAGGTTACCATGAGGAGGATTTCTGGCCTTCGAGTAAGTGCTTGCAATTTTCTGAATCAATTTTTGATGAAAATCATTGTCAGAAACCAGCATGTAGCATTCAACATCTTAAATGTGAAGAACAAATTCAAAGTGTAATTTAGTTTAATTCTTGTTTTGTAGTTTAAATTTCAATTGTTTTAGATTTCAATGTTACTTAAACATATAAAGGTATTTATTTACAGCAATGTGTAAACAGACTAATAAGGTAAATTCGTTAAACATATTGAAATCTAAATGAAAATAATTTAATAAAAGTCATGAATGTGCCATTCAAAATTTTAAAAATTTGAATATACATTCTTCAGATCTCTGTCGTCTCCTCCTTTCCCCTATCCCCATCTCATCTCTGTCTGTCTGTCGCTTTCTTCTCTTTATTTTTCTCTCTGAGGGGGGAAAAATGTTTATCATTCTTTAGGATAACAAACATTTCAAAAGAAAATATTTGAAAAGATATTCAAACTCATTAGTATTCAGAGAAATTCAAATTAAAACAACCATATGATTTAATTTATATAGCTATAAGATTGGGAAATTTTAATAAATCTGATAATATCAAAAGTGAAACAATTGGAATCTTTTATATGTTATTATACTATGTGATATGGTTAGGCTCTATGTGCCCATCCAAATCTCATCTTGAAGTATAATCCCTGTAATCCTCCTGTGTCAAGGGTGGGATCTGGTGGGAGGTGATTGGATCATGGGGGTGGTTCCCCCATGGCTTTCTCATGATAGCAAGTGAGTTCTCATGAGATCTGATGGTTTTAAGTGTTTGACATTTCCTGCTGCACACACATTTTTTCTCTTGCTTGCTGCCATGTAAGATGATATGCCTGATCCCCTTCAATCATGATTTTAAGTTTCCTGAAGCCTTCCCAGCCATGCAGAACTAGTCAGTTAAACCTCTTCCCTTGATAAAGTACCCAGTCTCAGATACTTTTTTACAGCAATGTGACAACGGACTAATACAGTAAATTGGTACCACGATTGTGGGGCATTGCTATAAGATACCTGAGAATGTGGAAGTGAGTTTGAAACTGGGTAATGGGCAGATGGAGGAAGGCTAAGAAGACAGGAAGATGTGGGAAACTTTGGAACTTCCTGGAGACTTGTTGAATGGCTTTGACAAAAATGCCGTTAGTGATCTAGGCAGTGAAGTCCAGATGAAGGTTGTCTCAGATGGAGATGGGAAATTTGTTGGGAACTGGAATAAGGGTGACTCTTGCTATGCTTTAGCAAAGAGACTTGGCAGCATTTTGCCTCTGCCTTAGAGATCCATGGAACTTTGAACTTGAGAGAGATGATTTATGGTATCTGGTGGAAGAAATTTCTAAGCAGCAAAGCATTCAAGAGGTGACTTGGGTGCTGTTAAAGGCATTCAGTTTCAAAATAGAAATGGAACATAAAAGTTTAGAAATTTTGCAGCCTAACAATGTGATAGAAAAGAAAAACCCAGCTGGGTGTGATGACTTACACCTGTAATCCCAGCACTTTGGGAGGCTGAGGCAGGTGGATCACCTGAGGTCAGGAGTTTGAGACCAGCCTGGCCAACATGGTGAAACCCTGTCTCTACTAAGAATACAAAAACTTAACTGGACATGATGGCAAGTGCCTGTAATCCCAGCTACTTGGGAGGCTGAGGCTGAGGCTGAGGCTGAGGCAGGAGAATTGCTTGAACCTAGGAGGTGGAGGTGGCAGTGAGCTGAGATCCTGCCATTGCACTCTAGCCGGGGTGGGGAAGCCCATTTTCTGAGGAGGAATTCACGCCAGCTGTAGAGGTTTGCATAAGTAACAAAGGAGTTTAATGTTAATCACCAAGACAATGGGGAAATGTCTCCAGGGCATATTCAGAGACCTTTGTGACACCCCCTCCCAGGCCCTGAGGCCTAGGAGGAAAAAGCGGTTTCCTGGAATGGGCCCAGGATCCCCATGCTGTGTGCAGCCTAGAGACTTGGTGCCCTGTGTCTCAGCCACTCCAGCCATGGCTGAAAGGGGCCAACATAGAGCTTGGCTTCAGAGGGTGCAAGCCTCAAGCCTTGGCAGCTTCCATGTGGTGTTGAGCATGTGAGTACACAGAAACTAAGAATTGAGGTTTTGGAACTTCCGCCTAGATTCAGAAGATGTATGGAAATGCCTGGATACCCAGGCAGAAGTTTGCTGTTGGGGCAGGTGCACTCATGGAGAACCTCTGCTAGGGCAGTACGGAAGGGAAATGTGGGATCAAAGACTCCACACAGAGCCCCTACTGGAGCACTGCCTAGTGGAGCTGTGAGAAGAGGGCCCCTGTTCTCCAGACCCTAGGATTGTAGATCCATTGACAGCTTGCACCATGCACCTGGAAAGGCCACAGACACTCAGTGTCAACCAGTGAAGACAGAGCCACATGAGTGGAACTGCCCAAGACCATGGAACCTCACCTCTTGTATCAGTGTGACCTGGATGTGAGATATGGAGTCAAAGGAGATCATTTTGGAGCTTTAAGGTTTGATTGCCTCGCTGGATTTTGAACTTGCATGGGGCCTGTAGCCCTTTTGTTTTGGCGAATTTCTCCCATTTGGAATTGTTGTATTTACTCAATGCTTGTACCCCCATTTTATCTAGGAAGTAACTAACTTGCGTTTGATTTTACAGGCTCATAAGCAGAAGGGACTTGCCTTGTCTCGAGACTTTGGACTGTGGACTTTTGAGTTAATGCTGAAATGAGTTAAGACTTTGGGGGGCTGTTGGGAAGGCATGATTGGTTTTGAACTGTGAAGATACGAGATTTAGGAGGACCCAGGGATGGAAGGATGTGGTATAGCTCTGTGTCCCCACCCAGATCTCCTCTTGCAGCTCCCATAATTCTCGTATGTTGTGGGAAGGACCTAAGTGGGAGATCATTGAATCATGGGGATGGATCTTTCCCATGCTGTTCATGATAATTAATTGGTCTCATGAGATCAGATGGTTTTAAAACAGGAGTTTCTCTGCATACACTCTCTCTTTGTCTGACGCCATCCATATAAGATGTGACTTGCTCCTTCCCTGCCTTCCATCATGATTGTGAGACCTCCCCAGCTATGTGGAAGTGTAAGTCCAATAAGCCTCTTTCTTTTGTAAATTGCCCATTCTCTGGTATGTCTTTATCAGTACCATTAAAATGGACTAATAACAATATCTGTCTTAAAGGTGTATTCTCTCTGGTATGCTAAGAGCCTTTTTAAAAATGTTTGCTTGTTTGTTCATAATAGTGAAAATGGAAATGATTGTTATGTCTGTTAGTAGGAATTTGGTAGATTAGTTGTAAAACATTTATGTAATGTAATGTTCATACACCTAAAATTGAAACCTGCATTAAGTGACAGCTTACTCTCTGTCTTTTACTATAACTTCCTTCAGGTTCTGTGGATGATTTGAAAATATTTTATTGCTGAAAATAAGTCTTCCATGCAGGGAAACTGAGAGAAGCCCATGCCATTTTAAAAGAGGAAAAGCAAAAATAGTCTAGCTTGATATTATTTGGACAGATCTTTAAAACTAACTTTGTACAATGTCAGAGTAGCTTGAATAAGGAGAGTATTGATGTAGGAACAGATATACTGAACAAAGTAATTTCTCCTATAGATTTATCATATGCCCTATTCCAAGAAAAAGCTGGTTCATCTTAATGAAAGTATAAAAGTTGACTAAGTAGTAAGTCTATGTAGCTATACCTTCTTTGGGATATTTCATTGTCCATTAGCAAGCTTCTGTACTATAAAAGTCTTCAAAGAGTATTTCAAGATCTGTGTGGAAACATACAGTGAACAAATAATCGTATTTTAAAACTATGATCTCTTTAAGGTAATTAAAAATTCTGTATGATACCAATATGGCAATATAAACTCAAGATTAGGGACCATTAACTGGGATTTATTTTTTCATCATTTATTTTGAATTACTTTTACATTTATTTGGAAGATGATGGATTATTAAAGCAAAAATATATAAAAATTAGGACTTCTAGAAATGGCAGTTTGAAGGTATTGAGAGTTCTTCCTTCCACACAAAATGAGTATTAAACTAGACAAAATTTCCACAAACAGCAAAATCAGGATACTGGAAACTGACAAGGAAAGACAAATGAAGTTTTCGTGCTTGAGAAACTTCTAGAGCTTTGGGTATAACCGGCAAGAGTATTAGCAGACTGACGAGAGTATTAGCATTCTTGCCTGGGATGCTCTTATACTCTGTTTGGTAAGTGAGAATGAGAGTTTATCGGTTCTGGAGCTAGGTGCAAAAATCAGCAGCTTTGCTACTTGGGAGGTCAGAATCAATTTTGTGCATGACACAAATAGTATGGCTTTGCCTGCCAACTGTGGTGGATTCAGTTAGAGCAGATGAAGAAACCCAACAACTTTGCTAGGCAGAGCTCTAACTGGGGCAAGGATTATACCTGGCAGAAAGTTGACAGGGAGGTCCTGGAAGTAAGATAATAATAAAGGACGGAGGTAAACTCTCCACCTATTCTTGGCCGACTGTGAAACTACGTATCAAGGGGAGACACTCAAAGTCCAGCCAAAAGTGAAAGCAAAGGGAGATTGGAGTCTTGGCTGCAATTTTGAATGATTTCCTAATCTACACACAGTTAAGCAGTAGAGGGTGGGACTCTTATGGGTTAATTGCATGACCACTTACCTATGCATATGCAAGTGAGATTCCTAGAAAGCCTCAAAGAATAAAAATACATAGAACATACATAAACTGAACACTAAATTGGCAGTTCTAAATCTAGCCATATCTATCATTATATTTAAATATGAATAGGACAAATGCTTCAATCAGTAGTTTGTTGCCCTGGCAGAAAACAATGCACTCCTTCTGGGAATTCTTGTGATTGTGCATAATCATCTGTGAGTCCCAGGCTAGCCTCCTAAAGCCTTTACTATGGCAAGGATTCAGACCACATTTGGGATTAATTTCTGCCACTTTCATGGATGAACTGAGTAACCTTTGGCAAAGCACTGTAACATGGAGATATCATAGGGTTTTTGGGTATATTAATGTAAACTTGTAAACGGTTATAGCAATGTCTGGCAAGTAAACGCTCAATAAATGTTAGTGATATGATGATAGCCATGAATATCATGATGGTGATGATGGAGTAGTGATGATGATAATGTCTCCTGTTCTAGATTGTGAACGCTGTTAAAACAGAATCTCTGACTTTCTCACGTTAGAATTGAACACTTAACACAGTATCTTGCCTGGAGTAGTTACTTAATAAATGTCTCTTGATTAAACGGAATGAATGAATTGCATCTTGTTGTAGACTTCATAGATGAACTGACATTTGAAATAGTGTGATGGTTAATTTTGTGTGTCAATTTGGCTAGATTATGGTGCCCAGTTATTTGACCAAACGCAAGTCTAGATGTTACTCTAAAAAGTATTTGATAGTTGTGATTAATATTTACAATTACTTGACTTTAATAAAGGAGGTAACCTTCGAGATTACTTTAGCAATTTGAGTGGGCTTCATCTAATAAGCTGAAGACCTGAAAAGGAAAAATAGTTTTCTGATAAAGCAGGGATTATTTTGTTTTGTTTTGCTTTTGAGGCAGGGTCTTGCTTTGTTGCTCAGGCTGGAGTGCACTTGCATGATCATGGCTTACTGCAGCCGTGAGCTCCTGGACTCAAGCTGTCCTTTCACCGCAGTCTCCCAAGTAGCTCCAATGACAGAAATTCACCACCTTACCCAGCAAATTAAAAAAAATTTTTTTTTTGGTACAGACAGGGTCTTTCTCGGCTGCTCAGGTTGGTCTTGAACTCTTGGGCTTGGTCTCCCAAGGCACTGGGATTACAGATATAAGTCACAGTTCCCGGTCTGAAGGAGGAATTTTGCCTCAAGACTGTAGCAGAAATTCTGTCTTAGTTTCTAGCCTGCAGGCCTGCCCTACAGATTTCACACTCAGGATCGCACATCAACTTTTCCCCAAGTTTCCAGCTTACCATGAGAAGTCCAAAATCCAGCTGTGGATTTTGGACTTCTCATCTCCCTCAATTGTGTGAACTAATTCTTTAAAATAAGTCTCTTTATGTGTATCCTATGAGTTTTGTTTCTCTGGAGAACATTGATACAGCTGGATCTTTAAAATTCAGTAAAATAAAGGCTAAAACATTGATTGAGTTCTTATTATGTGACCAGCAATATATGGGAAGGGGTAAAGTGATAAGTTACAATCCAGGTTGTGGTAGTTAACAAAATACATCCAGAAATTCTTTGATATTCCTCTCTTTCTAAGGCAGAGCTAGTTCCCCTCCTGTTGTCACTATTTCCAGTGATTCTAACAGATACATGACAAAAGTGACAGTATTGCACTTTTGGTATCAGGTCATTAAAATCATTGGGGCTTTTGGTTTGCACTCACCTGAGGATCACTCATGTGGTGGAAGTCACCTGTCATGTGTAAGAACCCTCAAGCAGCTGTCTCTCATAGAGGAGAGGGTAGAAGCTGGACAGACTCTGCAAGAGTGTTGAAGCTTGAAGATCCTTGAAGAAATTTTCAGATGAGCATTTGCAGGAAAGTGTGATAAATCTTACTGAAAACTAGTGAAGAAGGGGATTCTTGTTACGTAACAGCAGCAAGTTTAGCAGCACAGCCACCTATATTAATGTGGAATGTAGAACAGGTGTCTAATGAAACGGTAGTCTAAGGATGCTTGCAGGTAGTGTTAAAGGGGATATTTGGTTTCTTTTTGCTGTGTGTTGCACAATATGAGGGGAGAGAAAAGGAAAAGAAAGGCTGTTAAGAAAGAGTTGGACCTTACTGATTCTGATGGTTCTGAGTCCTTCCCAGTGGCAGGCAATGTTGAAATTGAAGAAATGACTTATGAGCAAAAATCATTTCAGGGTACTTTTGGAAAATTATGATCCGATGGTGAAACTAAGGATGTGACTGTAAAATCTTTCATTAAAACCTCATAAATATCTAACATTTCACCTTAGAAAATCATTTAATCAAACAGCTTTGCTTAAACACTTAAGGGTACTGTTTCTCAGCATTCTCAGCAGAATTCCAGTATAGAGAAGAGTGTGGCTTTTGTCTAATGGAGTGAACTCCAATAAGATTCACATGAGTACCAAAAAAAGAAATGTAAGAACATGATGTTGGCAGAAATGCCACCAGTTTGGTCCATAATTGAGAGACACGTTACAAAAGGAAAAGGCTCCTGAATCCTCAAAATTCTATTGATAGGACCCAAACTCAGAGCACTACGCAGCTTCAAACAGTCTACCTCTCTTTGCAAAGAAATAGTGATTCGAAGGATGAAAGCAAGTATCCAGAATGTGAAGCCAAGAACCTTGGATAGTTATTTCTGAACAGAAACAGGACTAAGTCCTAATCAAGGAAGGTCTACCATTTCCCTGGCTGTATTTCAGATTTGTTATCCTATTTTCCCCTTTTTGAACAGGAATGTCTGTAGTGATTGTCCTGTGCATGCTGCACATGTGCACCTTGGGCATGTGTGAGGCAGATAACTTTTCTCCTTAGGTCATATATCTTCTGATTGTAAGAAACTGTATTTTTAGGAGCTGTACATGAAGAACTACACCTCAGTAGCTTTATCTGTACCAGGATTTTATTAAGATGCCAACATCTCGGATTTCAAGCTGAAGTAGTAGAAGGATAAGACTAATTCTTTTCTTTTTTTTTTCTGGTGGAGCTTGAATGTATTTTGCATGTGAGAGGAATGTAAGTAGTTTGTGGTCAGAGAGCAGACTGGTGGTTTTAAACCTGTGCACAAAAGTTTTGCTACTCCTTCATTGAAAAGGTAGCCTAACTACTCTGTCCTTAAGTTTGGATTATACTTAGTGAGTCTAATGAATAGAATATGGTAGGGGTGACAGTGTGGGATTCTGAGACTACATCATTGTGGCTTCTTTCTTGCTTTGCTCTTGAATTATCCACTTCGATTAACTAGAGCCACATCATGAAGACACTCAATAGCCCTTTGGAGAGGTTTATGAGTTGCTGAACTTGCCAAAAGCTAGAAAGGAACTCAGGCTTCCAGCCAACAGCCCTGTGAATGAACCTACTTGAGAAGCAGCTGCTCTAGCTCTAGTCGTGCTTTCAGGTGACTGCAGCCTAAATGACATCTTGACCACAATTTAATGAGAAATTTCAACACAGAAACACATAGCTTAACCTCTCTCAGACTTCTGACCCACAGAAATTACGCGAGATAATAAATGTTTACTCATGCTTTAAACCACTAAGTTTCAAGGTGATTTGTTTTGTAGTACTCGATAATTAACAAGCAGACATAGTAGATATCACTATGAAGATATGTTTGCAGAAAAACACACATTGAAAATGTAGCCTGACTGCTCTTCTTGAGTGTAGACTGTAGTGATTCTAATGAGTAAAATATGGTAAGAATGACAGTGTTAAGTTTTCAAGATTACATCAGTTCAGTTAATTGTTAGGCAACTCCGATTTACCTCTTCTTTAATATATGTGATGTTTTTGAACTTAATCATGGGTTGGATCTGTTGAGGCCAAATGTAGGTGTTCAACCACAGTTATTTTTGCACCAACCTAATACTTTGGTCAATGTCTGATTTCTACTGTATTAGAATGAAACTGCCCTGGGCGTGGACTATATTCTTTAATGTTTTGGTGAATGCGTAATTGTGTGCTTCCAGAACTTTCACAGATACTTTGTTACCGTCCTTTTGAATTTTACTAGCGTATTTATTTCTATTTATTTCAAAGAGTGTTCAAGATGATGATTGAAATGTTAGAAATACAAGCCACATTCATTTTTAGACATGAATGTAAGATACATTATAGGAAAAAATGTTGGCGGAATTAGTAGAGATTTATCTTTTCTATTTTCAGGAACTACATGCCCAGAAGCTGGATTTTTTGCTTTTGTTTTTTAAAATTTTAATGGACAGGCCAGGTCCAGTGGCTCATGTCTCTAATTCTAGTGCTTCAGGAGGCTGAGGCAGGAGGATTGCTTGAGGCCAGGAGTTTGATACCAGCTTGTGTGACATAGTGAGATCCTGTATCTACAAAATAATGAAAACATTAGCTAATGTAGTAACGTGTCCTGTAGTCCTAGCTACTTGGAAGCCTACTTGGGAGAGGATCACTTAAGTCCAAGAGTTAGAGTCTGCAGTGAGCTTGATGGTACCACTATACTCCAGAGACTTTGTCCCTAAGAAAAGCAAAATTGAGAAATACATATTGTATATATTTATGATATACAACATGATGTTTGATATATGTATACATTGTGGAATGGCTAAATCAAGCTAACCTTTATTTCTTGACTATATAGTAAAATATGTCTTAAGTTGTAAAAGAAAAAAGCTGAAATTTATTAAGTATGTTTATATATTTATGACTATAATGTATCATAGTTTAAACATGTGAAGTAATTTGACAGGGAAATACTTAAAAATGAAAAAATAGATTAATTTTAAAAGTAATCAGTCATAACTGAATCATCATCAGAGACACTGATTACTTACTAACATTTAGCCATTACTATGTTGTTTTTAATCTTTAATAAAAAGTTCAAACTAACAATGAAACAGCTGAACTTTGATGGTTCATTTTACTTTAGATCATATTCTTATCATTAATAATTATCTTCATGTAAATGGAAATGTCTAATAGTACCCTCTTCTTTCTTCTCAGGGAAATGCTCCAAAGCTGGAATTTTCTACAACTTCAGTGATTACTGAATGTCTGATTAGTTCAAGGAAATGCCGCACTCAGGTTAAAATTGTTTGTATAAATTATTTCATAGTTTTAATTTATTTGGTCATCTTTGTGGCCATTTAGCAAGCATTATTTCTTTATTTTTGGCTGCAACTCTTCACTTTTTCGGGGATAAATTTTTAGTTTAAGTAAAACAATACAGATATTTAACAGTATGGTTACATCTTAGTAAATGTGAGAATGAAAAGCTTGGTATGTTTGATAGAGGATGTCATCATGTGATGATTATTACTACTGTTTTTTACTTCTTGGACGTTTTCATTTTAATGCACAGAAATCAACCTGCCATAAAGATGTTAGGATCAAATAGTCTCACAGAGATCTAGGCATCTTTTAAATTTTATGGAAGTTACAGGTTACTACAAAATGTTCACAGGATACCTTTTTTAGCAAATGTTACCAGAGTTCTCAGATGGGATACTGGTGTTTAGTGAGTATGGTTTCTTGACTGTCTCTGATTTCTTAAGGGACTGTTGCTCAGTTTGGTGGCTATACTGGTACTGCCAGATCAAGAGAATCTTGGACATTCCAGCCTAAGGATCATCTGTGTCTGAGATATCTGGATCTAATACTCCATTTGGTCTGACTTCTTTTTTTTTTTTTCCTTTTTAAAATATATTTGAGACAGGGTCTTACTCTGTTGCCCAGGGTGGAGGGCAGTGTATGCAGCTTTGACCTCCCGGGCTAAAGCGATCCTCCTGCCTCAGTCCCCTTAGTAGCTGGGACTACAGGTTCGCGCCACCACACCCGGCTAATTTTTGTATTTTTTTTTTTTTTTTTGAGACAGGGTTTGTCATGTTGCTCAGGCTGGTCTTGAATTCCGGGGCTCAGACAGTCCACCCACCTTGGCCTCCCAGAATACTGGGAATATGAGTGTGTACTAATGTGCCTGGCCTGGTCTGAATTCTTACTGAGTTACCAAGGTAGCTTATTTCCTTGTCCACAGGTTATCTAACAATGTCTAGATATCACTCATGTGCAGTTGCACTGTGAGAGAGTAACAGTGACCTATGATGAAGAGCCAATAATATGTAAAGCTCAGAGGGCTCAAAAGGGCAGGCTTACCATGGAAGGAGTAGATTGTTTGTTTACTGCATTATCAGTGTTCACATAAATTTGCTGAGGATGATAACTGTGACCTGAGCTAAGAAAGGTAAAATATAGAATTATTGAGGGGATCATTCTTATTTTATTTAGGAAGATATTGAATAATTCAGAGTCAGGCTGTACTTATTTATCTTTTAGATGCAAGCTGAAACACAGCTTTTAGTGCTCTAAAAACCTACGCTTGCCAAATACAGAGATATGTTATTGACTTATTTTTAGATGTGCACTGTGCACATTGTAAATTGTTAGAAATGCTTTGCTTGGACTCTTGACAGTTTTTTTCTTCACACTGGAGTATGTTTTTCCAATAGATGGATAGAGAAGTCTTTCTTTCCTTTTAACATTTTGTCTGAATTACAGCATATACATAGAAAAGTACATACATTGTAAGGGTACAGCTTGGTGAAAGCCATTTCTAAATGTAAAGCCATCACCCGTTCATAATTTAATTGTACTTATGAACTAATATTTTCCTCTATAAACTTTTGATAGGATGCTTCATTTATTTATTTTTTTGACTTAGGATCTTTATTGAAGAGATAAGAGAGAAAAGGCATTTGTGTCAGTATTTAAGGAAATATGTTTTATTTAAATATTCTTTGCAGAAACAGACAGATCTAGGCTTGAGTTCCTCATAAGGCTTCTGTAAAGATTAGGGAATATATGCAGTATACCTGGCATATAACATTATTAATGAATATTGGAGCTGTTACTATGGCTATGTTTTTAAGAAATTAAGACATTTGGGGGAGATACAGAAGTAGTTGAAATATGAGATAGAAAAATTACCTGGCAGGCACAACAGAGTATTAACTTTTACATTAAAATTCTGAATGTTAACAGTCTTTGATTGTATTTAAGAAGGCGGTAGGTCTACTTTTTCAAGTGAATATTAGTTATAATTAAAATTTTAATGGCTATAAAGCAGCATTTTTGGTTTCAAAGACAATACAAACTATTTTTACTTTTGAGAGAAGTGAAGCTGTAAAAAAATTTTAGGTTTACAAAAATGCTTATAATCATGTTTATTCCTTTTGGCACTTTATTTTCTAATTGGATATTTTGTCACTAACTGAATGGACTGAAAAATTAAGCATATTACTATGAATTTTCTGGAACAAAACTAGTTTTCATTTCTACTCATTGTTTTTACCTACTGCAAAGTGGAATTTATTACCTAAATAGTTAAATATCAGTAGTAACTTTATGAATATAAATGTGTTAATCTGCTGTATCACATAGTTTTGGTTGTATTACAAACCTCACTAACTTAGTGACTTAAAACAGCAAGTGTTTCTCACAACTCTGTGGATCTGCTGGTTGATTCTTTTAGTTTAGAATGGCTGGCTAGGGATGAATGGTTTAGGATGGCTTTACTCACATGTCTGACAGTGGCAGACGTTTTGCCCAGGGAAAGGATCTTAAATTTCTGGTGATGAGCTTGATTTCAGCTGGGACGATAGTCACAAGGCTCTCATCATCTATGAGGCTAAGAATTCCAGCTCATTCATGGTAGCAGGAAGGTTTTTAGGAGTAAGAGAGTTTAAGTATTTTCCAAGTCTCTCCTTGTGCTACATGTACTATTTTTCTGTTGTCCAAAGCAAGTCACATGGTCAATCCCTTTTACAAATAGTATGACACAGTCACTTTTTAAAAAAGTTTTACTAGGCATGAACAGGATGCATTAGGAATAAGTAGGGTTAGACAGCATGCATTTGTAGTAGATACTATGTAATTTATAACTTTCTTTAGTAGTATGCAATAGTAAAAGCTTTAATAAAGAAGATGAGGTTAATTAAGGTTTGATATAATCAGAGGTAGATCTATAAGAAGGAATTTTACAGCATTGCTGAAATGGATGATTATGAGTTTAGTTGGGTCTGGAGATAAGAGATACTAAAAATGTGTAAAGAACTTGAGGCAAGAGTTCTAGGGACTGAGAAGGTGAAAAGGGCAAGTAGCAGATTCAATGAGAAAAAAGTCGGTTGAGGAAAAGAGGTTTTGGTCAGCAAGGGATTTTCAGAATTGGGGATGCAATGGATCTGCATATTTATAAAATCTAAGATACAGTAGAATTAGATAATTAAAGCTGACAAGCAGAAACTCGTAATTACAAGGTCTTAGAAAGATTCATTGCTTGATGTTTTAGTAGATCTCAAAGATCCTTTCTAATGCTAACATTCCTTGCTTCTGTAAGTCTGTGATGTCATAGAGATGGATGAAATGGATATGGCAGACAAATTCTGAATTACTTTTTGAAGTCATTGAACAAGGTAGAGAAGGTCCAGAAGCATACTGGGAACTATAGAAGAAAGAAAGATGAAGTAGTCTGATGCAGCTGGTCTGTATGAAATGCATAGACCATTGCCCCAGCTGAAGCTTGTTTTCATTTAGGAAAATTAATTTTTCTGTGTATCCACTTAAAAATTTTTGACTCTTCTTTATCCTATTCACATTTGTATTTTATTTACTAAGTTACCCTTAGCAAATAGGGATGTTGAGGAAGTAGAGCAGGTGTAGGATTGGTGGCTTTTAAAAATGATTAAAATTAGGAAGACATTCAAAAATTCTCAGCAGCCCATTTTCTTGAATTGAAAAGCTTCTTGTAACTCTGGGTGAAGTATGGAGAAATGTTACATTATTTGCTTGTAATCTAAATATTAAGGCATTTATAAGGCAGAGATTATTTGAATAAGACGTTATTCTAACAAATTAGCAAAATTAGAATTATCAAATTTTATTTAGCCTCAAAATTCTTAGACTGGTAACCAGTTTTATTGGAAGAAAAAATACCACTTATTAAGTTTATAATGTTTTTTATGTTTCTAATTTTATAAAAATATGGGACCAGAATTAGATAGTATGTTTATCTGTCATAGTGAAGTTACAGCTTGGTAGGGAGCTTAAAGTATGTATTACAATCCAAATAATACATTTCAATAAAATACGTATAGAGTTGTTCTTCAGACATTTGTGTTGTACATTTATATAATTATAACCGAAGGGATGAAACTTATTTTTATAGTTTTCTGTGTAAAGATTTTGTGATCAACTAATTTGGCATGTATTTTTAACATTAAACATAGTTATATAGCCAGTTACATCAATATATATGATAACCAATGTTTTTGCTTTTTTGGTATACTGAAAAATAATTTTTTGATATTGTTTCTTAAATTTTTCAGGTGATTAAATATTGGGCTTTAATTTTTATAATGTCCTTGTTAGTTGGACTTAAGGAAGTTTGAGACAGTATACTTCAATAACGACTATAGAAAGAATTATCTAGGAAAATGTGGATTTGACTTATTCCAGGATCAGCACAGATAGGAAGGACTGATCTAATTGACTTTGATAGATTTTGTATCTTATTTAAATTACTTTATAATTTTTTTTTTTTTTACCAATAGAAATTTTAAAAATCCCCTTTGACGAAGTTAATTTTTATTTTTTATGTTTAGGATAAATTTATTTACCATTCGGCTCCAGCTGAAAAATCACACGGCAGACTGCAAAACAGAACATCAAGATCACAAAAGAAAAAATCCAAGTCACCTGAGAGAAGTAAATATTGCATAAATGCAAAAAACTACGAACAGCCTACAATCTCTTCAAAATCACACTCTCCATCTCCCTACACAAAAAGACGCATGTGTGAGCTATCTGAAGATACCAGGCGGCGGCTGGCCCATTTAAATCTGGGACCCTATGAGTTCAAAAAGGAAACAGATAAACCTCCATTTGTGATTAGACATGTATGTGTTCTCTTAAGCATTTCTATTTGAAACTGATCAGTATTTTCCCCCAAAAAATGTTATTCTGAAATATCGTTCAGCTTCTAGCTTATATTAATACTTTTCTTTCCTGACTGCTAGCCCAGCAATCTAAGATGGGAAATTAATTTAGAATGAAAGAACTTGCTTTTTTTCAGTCTTCAGACCTGATGGAAATCAAGCTGTGTTATGAATGCCATATTAAGTCCTCTCATCTCGGTTTTCTTTCTTATATAGTAGATAGCATAATAACTACCAACTGAACTTGGTTGTAATTGACATTAGTATTAAAATGGCAGAGTATGGCTTTAAAAGAGAGCCAAGTATTCTATATAAAAAGGAAGACCCTCCTTTTTTAAATTATAAAAATTAAAATGGAAAGGAAGTTTCCTTTTAAATTACGTCCCTTGGGTAAGCTTTGTATAATTGATCTTCAAAGCAAATTATTTTATGAATATGAGAAGGCCTTTGAAAGTGAAAAAAGTTCATTTAAGGGTAACATAGTTCTAATCTTTCTATACCAAATTGTGCTTTTGATATAGTTGAAATTTAGAGTCTTGTGTTTATATGATTATCAAATAGACTTTGACTAAATTTAAGGGTTTGTAATCAGAATGTTTAGTAAAGGACTCCCTCAGAATCTTCATGATTTCCTGAATTTTTATAAAGTGTTTTTACCTTAAAAGCAATTCTTTACCAAAAGCTTTCAAACTAATAAAAATATGAATTTATATAATATACATATATAATAATGCTAAACCTCAAGATTTAAGTGCTGATAGAGGCAAAATAACTTTCTGAGATACCTATAAAAATATGACTAATGTCTTTAGTTCATTTTTTCTGAATTCTAAAATGAATTAATCCAACATGTAAATATGCTCCTTTGGTGGGCTAATAACTTTGAACATACACCATCTGAAAGTTCAGATTTTCTTTGTGATACCCTTTTAAAACAAATGAAATATACCTTTAGCAACGTTTCATTCCACCTGTATTTTGACTCTGAGTCCTTTTTTTTCAGCTCTTAATAGATTTTTTTATTATAAAAGAAAATTTATAGTGTAATGGATACTTTTAAGTGGCAATGTTTTTTTGAGGTTATTGTGACTATTTTCTCATTTCTACATAATTTGATTATAAGTTTTGGTCACTTTTTTTGTTGTTGTTTGACCAGTATTCAGATAATAGTTGCATATTTGATGTTAGTTTTAGAATGCCTTTAAGTCTGCCCATAATTACAAATTAAATTGAAAAGAAAGATTATATTTTCATCTGAAGGAATTGTAGCATTTTAATTAAAATGCCTATGTACAAAAATAAATATTGTGGGAGTAGCCATGTTAAATTTTTTTGAAAAAAATAACTGCTTTTCTTTAAATGTGTGTTTTATTATTGCTTTTTATGTCATTGTTTAGAATGGAATAATTCTAATATTGCTTGGTACAAACTTTAAAATTTGTATTTAAATAGTTTCCCTCCCTAGCTTTTCAATAAGCAGAAATGCCTACTTCTAATTCTATACTTAGAAAATTACATTATTAAATAGGAAAGTGGATTTTTCAATTGTATTTGTAAACATAGACCTTTTCTTTTTTTTTTTATTTTATTTTATTTTATTTTATTTTATTTTATTTTATTTTATTTTATTGCATTTTAGGTTTCGGGGTACATGTGATGAACATGCAAGATTGTTGCATAGGTACACACATGGCAGTGTGGTTTGCTGCCTTCCGTCCCCTCACCTGTATCTGTCATTTCTCCCCATGCTATCTCTTCCCACTTCCCCACCCCCTGCCCCTCCCCCATTTCCCCCCAACGGACCCCAGTGTGTAGTGCTCCCCTCCCTGTGTCCTTGTGTTCTCATTGTTCAGCACCCGCCTATGAGTGAGAATATACGGTGTTTGATTTTCTGCTCTTGTGTCAGTTTGCTGAGAATGATGGTTTCCAGGTTCATCCATGTCCCTACAAAGGACGTGAACTCATCCTTTTTGATGGCTGCGTAATATTCCATGGTGTATATGTACCACATTTTCCCTATCAAGTCTATCATCGTTGGGCATTTGGGTTGGTTCCAGGTCTTTGCTATTGTAAACAGTGCTGCAATGAACATTCGTGTGCACGTGTCCTTATAGTAGAATGATTTATAATCCTTTGGATATATACCCAGTAATGGGATTGCCGGGTCAAATGGGATTTCTATTTTTAGGTCCTTGAGGAATCGCCACACTGTCTTCCACAATGGTTGAACTAATTTACATTCCCACCAACAGTGTAAAAGTGTTCCTATTTCTCCACATCCTCTCCAGCATCTGTTGTTTCCCGATTTTTTAATGATCGCCATTCTAACTGGTGTGAGATGGTATCTCAATGTGGTTTTGATTTGCATTTCTCTGATGACCAGTGATGATGAGCATTTTTTCATATGTTTGTTGGCCTCCTGTATGTCTTCTTTTGTAAAGTACCTGTTCATGTCCTTTGCCCATTTTTGAATGGGCTTGTTTGTTTTTTTCTTGTAGATCTGCTTTAGTTCTTTGTAAATTCTGGATATCAGCCCCTTGTCAGATGGGTAGGCTGCAAAAATTTTTTCCCATTCTGTTGGTTGCCGATTCACTCTACTGACTGTTTCTTTTGCCGTGCAGAAGCTGTGGAGTTTGATTAGGTCCCATTTGTCTATTTTGGCTTTTGTTGCCATTGCTTTTGGCGTTTTGGTCATGAAGTCCTTGCCTACACCTATGTCCTGAATGGTTTTGCCTAGATTTTCCTCTAAGGTTTTTATGGTGTTAGGTCTGATGTTTAAGTCTTTAATCCATCTGGAGTTAATTTTGGTGTAAGGTGTCAGGAAGGGGTCCTGTTTCTGCTTTCTGCACATGGCTAGCCAGTTTTCCCAACACCATTTATTAAACAGGGAGTCCTTTCCCCATTGCTTGTTTTTGTCAGGTTTGTCGAAGATAAGATGGTTGTGGGTATGTTGTTTTTCCTGTGAGGCCTCTGTTCTGTTCCATTGGTCTATATCTCTGTTTCGGTACCAGTACCATGCTGTTTTGATTACTGTAGCCTTGTAGTATAGTTTGAAGTCCGGTAGTGTGATGCCTCCTGCTTTGTTCTTTTTGCTTAGAGTTGACTTGGCTATGCGGGCTCTCTTTTGGTTCCATATGAAGTTTAAGGTGTTTTTTTCCAGTTCTGTGAAGAAGGTCATTGGTAGCTTGATGGGAATAGCGTTGAATCTGTAAATTACTTTGGGCAGTATGGCCATTTTCACAATGTTGATTCTTCCTAACCATGAACATGGAATGTTTCTCCATCTGTTTGTATCCTCTCTTATTTCATTGAGCAATGGCTTGTAGTTCTCCTTGAAGAGGTCCTTTACGTTCCTTGTTAGTTGTATTCCTAGGTACTTTATTCTCTTTGTAGCAATTGTGAATGGCAGTTCGTTCTTGATTTGGCTCTCTTGAAGTCTATTACTGGTGTACAGGAATGCTTGTGATTTTTGCACGTTGATTTTGTATCCTGAGACTTTGCTGAAGTTGTTTATCAGTTTCAGGAGATTTTGGGCTGAGATGATGGGGTCTTCCAGATATACAATCATGTCATCTGCAAATAGAGACAATTTGATTTCCTCCTTTCCAATTTGAATACCCTTTATTTCTTTTTCTTGCCTGATTGCTCTGGCTAGAACTTCCAGTACTATATTGAATAGGAGTGGTGAGAGAGGGCATCCTTGTCTAGTGCCAGATTTCAAAGGGAATGCTTCCAGTTTTTGCCCATTCAGTATGATATTGGCTGTTGGTTTGTCGTAAATAGCTTTTATTGTTTTGAGATACGTTCCATCAATACCTAGTTTATTGAGGGTTTTTAGCATAAAGGGTTGTTGAATTTTGTCAAAAGCCTTCTCTGCGTCAATTGAGATAATCATGTGGTTTTTGTCTTTGGTTCTGTTTATGTGGTGAATTACGTTTATGGACTTGCGTATGTTGAACCAGCCTTGCATCCCCGGGATGAATCCTACTTGATCATGGTGGATGAGCTTTTTGATATGCTGTTGCAATCGGTTTGCCAGTATTTTATTGAAGATTTTTGCATCTATGTTCATCATGGATATTGGCCTGAAATTTTCTTTTCTTGTTGAGTCTCTGCCGGGTTTTGGTATCAGGATGATGTTTGTCTCGTAAAATGATTTGGGAAGGATTCCCTCTTTTTGGATTGTCTGGAATAGTTTCAGAAGGAATGGTATCAGCTCCTCTTTGTATGTCTGGTAGAATTCTGCTGTGAACCCATCTGGACCTGGGCTTTTTTTGGGTGGTAGGCTCTTTATTGCTGCCTCGACTTCAGACCATGTTATTGGTCTATTCAGAGTTTCGGCTTCTTCCAGGTTTAGGCTTGGGAGGGTGCAGGTGTCCAGGAATTTATCCATTTCTTCCAGGTTTACTAATTTATGTGCATAGAGTTGTTTGTAATAATCTCTGATGATGGTTTGGATTTCTGTGGAATCTGTGGTGATATCCCCTTTATCGTTTTTTATTGCATCAATTTGGTTATTCTCTCTTTTCTTTTTTATTAATCTGGCTAGTGGTCTGTCTATTTTGTTGATCTTTTCAAAAAACCAGCTCCTGGATTTATTGATTTTTTGAAGAGTTTTTGTGTCTCTATTTCCTTCAGTTCTGCTCTGATCTTAGATATTTCCTGTCTTCTGCTAGGTTTTGAGTTTTTTTGATCTTGCTCCTCTAGCTCTTTCAATTTTGATGATAGGGTGTCAATTTTCGACCTCTCCTTTCTTCTCATGTGGGCACTCATTGCTATATATTTTCCTCTAGAGACTGCTTTAAATGTGTCCCAGAGATTCTGGTATGTTGTGTCTTCGTTCTCATTGGTTTCTAAGAACATCTTTATTTCTGCCTTCATTTCATTGTTTATCCAGTCAACATTCAAGAGCAAGTTGTTCAGTTTCCATGAAGCTGTGTGATTCTGAGTTAGTTTCTGCA